ATTCCAGAAAAACATCTGCTTCATTGACTATGCTACAGCTTTTGACTGGGTGGATCACAATAAACTGTGGGAAATTCTTAAAGAAATGGGAATACCAGACCACCTTACCTACCTCCTGAGAAACCCGTGTGCAGGTCAAGAAGCAACAGTTAGAACCAGACATGGAACAACAGACTAGTTCCAAATTGGGAAAGGAGTACATCAAGGCTGTATACTGTCACCCTTCTTATTTAATTTATATACAGAATACATGATGCAAAATGCCCAGGCTGGATGAAGCTCAAGCTGAAATCAAGATTGCTGAGAGAATTACCAGTAACCTCAGATAAGCAGATGACACCACCCTAATGGAACAAAGTGAAGAGGAACTAAAGAGCCTCTTAATGAAGGTGAAAGAGGAGAGTGAAAAAGATAGCTTAAAACTCAACAATCAAAAAACTAAGATCATGGCATCTGGTCCATCACTTCATGGCAAATAGATGAGGGGAAAAAAATGGAAACAGTGACAGTGCTTTCTTGGGCTCCAGAGTCACTGAGGATGGTGCCTGCAGCCATGAAATTAAAAGATGCTTGTTCCTTGGAAGAAAAGCTATGACAAAACCAGACAGCATATTACAATACAGAGACATCATTTGCCAACAAAGGTCCAACTAGTCAAAGCTATGGTTTTTCCAGTAGTCAGATACAGATGTGAGAGTTGGATCATGAAGAAGGCTGAGCACCAAAGAACTGAAGCTTTCAAACTGTGGTGCTGGAAAAGACTCATGAGATTTCCTTGGACAGCAAGGCAATCAAACCAGTCAATCATAAAGGAAATGAACTCTGAATATTCACTGGAAGGACTGATGCTGAAGCTCTAACACTTTGGCCACCCGATGTGAGGAGCTGACTGACTCATTGGAAAAGACCCTGATGCTGGGACAGATTGAAGGCAGGAGAAAGGGACAGCAGAGGATGAGATGGTTGGATAACACCATTGACTCAATGGACATGAGTTTGAGCAAACTCTGGGAGATAGTGAAGGACAGGTAAGCCTGGTTTGCTCCAGTCCATAGGGTTTCAAAGAGTCAGACATGACTCAACTACTGAAAATGAACAGTTTACATTTTGTATGTAGTTAAACTTCACTGCATTTCCACTGGTACCAATAAATAACTGTTATGAGAAGGCTGGTAGTACTGATTAGCATCCACACCTCACTGCTTTTTTGGTATGCTTTACTTTCTAAGTTATATGATTTCATGCATTTTTGGTTTTTTCTTTTTGTTATCATAATTACTATCAAATGACTTTTACTGAGTGTGCCAGGTATGGTGATGAACACTCCATATGCATTATTGGACCCAGTTCTCTCAGTAAACCTCTGAAGTAGGTACCATTATTGCCTCCTTTTTACAGATGAGAAAACTGAGGCACAAGTATAAGGAATATATCCAGGGTTACAAAGTCAATTAGTGGCACTGCTAGGATTCAAACCATGATTTAACTCCAAAATAAAAGCTCTAAAAATTTTGGCAAACTAAACATAAAGCTTATTATTTTAGCCATTTTACAACTCAGTGGTATTTAATACATTCACATTTTTTTGCAACCATCACCACTATTTAGTTCTAGAAAATTTTGTCACTCTAAAAGGCAACCTCATGCCCATCAAGCAGTCACTCCTCATCCCTCCCCCCCAACCCCTTATCTGTTTTCTCTTAAGGATTTGCCTATTCTGGACATTTCATAAATGGAATTATATAATATGGGATCTTTTGTGTCTGTTTTCTTCCACTTTTCATAATGTTTTCATGATTCATTCATGTTGTAACAGGTATCAGTATTTCATTTCCTTTTTTGACCAAATATTAATCCATTGCACCACATTTAGTTTATCCATTAATCAGTTGATGCACATTTGGTTGTTTCTACTTTTTGTCTATTGTGAAGCTCCAATATGAACATTCAGGTAGAAGGTTTTGTTTGAACACCTTTCAATTCTTTTGGATAAAACTTATAGGCTTTTGATCATAAGCCTCTGTTGACTCCAAGAAGGAAAAGACCAGATATCTTAAAATCTTCATTCAACAACTATTTACTGGGAACCTATTATTCAGCTACCGAGAATGCTAAGCACTGGGAATGTAAGTTACAATGAATAAGACAGACATCACTCCTGCCTTCCTCAGGAATGACAGAAAACTGAGTAGGTTAGTAAAACACAGACCTGGCAGCAGTTAAGATTAAGGGTTCCTTTTCCATTTGCTATTAAAGGAAAGTCAAACCTGGTAGTGATGCATCTGAGCAAGATGTTATAATGGAATGCTTTTGGATGCAAGAAACTAGTACAACTAAGACTAGTTTAAAGGCGAAGACTATTCTCTTTACCTCCACTGAAAGTATCCTAGTCAAAGTCACTATCATCACCTTTTCCCTGTAGCTCTGCAGGAATCTTCAGTTTGGTTTCCCTGCATCCAATTTGATCTCCCACCAACATAGTTCTTCACATTACAGCTCAGGTGGCCTTTTTAAACACATGCTTATGCTTAAAATTTGCTTCCCACTGCTCTTAGAATAAAGACCATTTATTGCCTTGTGTGTGTGTGCTTAGTTGCTCGGTCATGTCTGACTCTTGTGATCCCATGGACTGTAGCCTGCCAGGCTCCTTGGTCCATGGGAATTCTCCAGACAAGAATACTGGAGTGGGTTGCCATGCCCACCTTCCAGGGATCTTCCCAACCCAGGGGTTGAACCCAGGTCTCCTGCATTGCAGGTAGATTCTTTACCATCTGAGCCACCAGGGAAGCCCATTTACTGCCTTACATAAGTCTGAGGTAGGAAGTTTCCTGATTGTGATAAGTCAGCAGCTCCACAGCATCAAGGAACTAGGTTTTCTCTATCCTTCTGCTCTGCCATCTTCAGCATCTTCATAGTCACAATAAGGATAAGCAACTCGAGGGATCATGTCCTCCTACATAACAAGGACCAAAGTACAGAAGTGGAAAGATGGCAGATCCCACCAAAAAAAAAAAAAAAAAAAATGTTCCCTCTAAGAAATTCTCCAGAATACTTCCCCTCAGGTCTGTTCTGCCAGATTTGTACCAAAAGCCTATTCCTACAGCAACCATGGTAGGGGAATGGCAGTACAAAGAGTGATTTAAGATTAATCAAATTTGAGGCTGGAAAGGGTCCAGTTCCCCAGTGGGGCAAACAGCTACCTGATGCACCAACAAAATACAGTTCTGGGAAAGTGTAAGAGGGAAAGGAAGAGTTGTAATATAGGCAATGTATAAAAGTGTCTCCATGAGTGCCTAAGCAAGAATTCCTGGAGAAAGTCCAATTCATGTTCTCCTCTGAACTTCCTCAATTGAATAGAACCACCAACCAAACAATCAAAACAAAAACAAAAACCTTAAATCTCAACACATCCAAGACTGAACTTATGAGTCTCATCAAAGTGGTCTCTTCTAATGCTTTCTTTGTGCATAGCACCACCATTCCAGTTGTCAGAGCCAGAAAAACAGGAGTCATCATAGTCTTTTTCCTCACCAGCTGTATCTAGTGCATAATCGAGTCCTGTTGATATAACCTCAAAAAGAGCTCTTGGATCTACTACTCTCTTCACTTCCACCGACAGTATCCTACTCCAAGTCACTATCATCACCTTTCCCTGTAGCTCTGCAGGAATCTTCAGCTTGGTTTCCCTGCATCCAATTTGACCTCCTGCCAACATAGTTCTTCACGTTACAGCTAAGGTGGCCTTTTTAAACACATGCTTATGCTTAAAATTTGCTTCCCGCTGCTCCTGGAGTAAAAATCAAAATAAGGCCCTCCCCCAACTCTTCAGTCTGAAGAAGGAAATGGCAACCCACTCCAGTATTCTTGCCTAGATAATCCCGTGGACAGGGGAGCCTGGTGGGCTGCTCTACATGGGGTCGCACAGAGTCGGACACGACTGAAGAGACTTAGCATGCATGCATGCATTTGAAAAGGAAATGGCAGCCCACTCCAGTGTTTCTGTCTGGAGAATTCCGGGGACAGGGGAGCCTGGTGGGCTGCTGTCTATGGGGTCGCACAGAGTTGGACACGACTGAAGCAACTTAGCAGCAGCAGCAGCAACTCTTCAGTCAGTTCAGTTGCTCAGTCGTGTCCGATTCTTTGAGACCCCACGGACTTCAGCACGCCAGGCTTCCCTGTCTATCACCAACTCCCGGAGCCTACTCAAATTCACGTCCATTGCGTCAGTGATGCCAACCCTCCAACTCTTAGCAGTTCATTTAATTGGTTTTCTTTGAGCTTGAATGGTTATATTCCACTCCACCTCAGACTTGTGCACTTGCCACTACTCCTGGCCCTTGTTATCCTTCATATCTCAGCTTAACCGTCATTCCCGTGGGAAAGCCTCTCCAGGCTTCTTAAGTAGGTCATAGAGAAGTCTGTGCTTTTCCTTCAGGGCACTTTTCTGCCTGAAGACTAAGATCTTCCGAAACAGGGAGCTAGTCTCTCCTACAACATAACACCTGGCACATAGTAAGTGTACACTGTATAGTTGTCGAATCAATATACACACATCAAAGAAGAGTGGACGATGATAAATGTGGACCCGGTCCCAGAGAAAACGCAAATGACGGCCGTGACCCACCGGCATGGCCCAGCAGCCTGGACCACAAGATTCGTTGCTCCTCCCAGCAGCTCCGCCCCTTGGGTCCAGCCCCTCCCTGCTGAGTCGTGGGGCGGGGCATAGAGGTCGCCTGACGTGACAGCAGCCGACCTCTGATTGGGCTTCCAGGCGTGCCGGCTAGGGAAAGGGGCGTGCCCTCGTGCGCTGATTGGCTGGGGGGAAGCAGCTAGGCGGGCGGCGGCGGCGGCGGTGCGGGGGCGGGCGCTGGGAGGGACGGGACTGGGCAGGGCAGGGCTGGGAGGGCAGTAGCTGCGGGTAGGATGGGTTCTCATCGCCGGCTTCGCTGAGACTCGCTCGCGTGGGCTGCCCGCGGCGGGCCCGCAGTGGCCACGGCGGCATGAAGGGCGCTCTGGGAAGTCCTGTGGCTGCGGCTGCCGCAGGCGCCGCGATGCAGGAGAGTTTCGGCTGCGTCGTGGCCAACCGCTTCCACCAGCTGCTAGACGATGAGTCTGACCCGTTCGACATCCTGCGCGAGGCCGAACGCCGGCGCCAGCAGCAGCTGCAGCGCAAGAGGCGCGACGAGGCGGCGGCGGCAGCGGCCGGGGCTGGCAACCGCGGCGGCAGGAGCCCGGCTGGGGCCTCGGGCCACAGACCCGGCGCGGGCGGCGGCCGGAGGGAGTCCCAGAAGGAGCGCAAGAGCCTCCCGGCCCCCAGCTCGCAGCAGCCAGATAGCCCAGGGGGCGGCCCGCAGCCGCCCGGTACGCGCGCCCAGCCCGGCACCTGGGTGTCCCAGGGTGGGCGCGGTGGGCGGGAGGGGAAGGAGAATGGGGTCATGGAGGTCACCCCTCCTCAGCCGCCCCAGGACCTGCTACTGCGAGACTGGGGTCGCTGGAACCTGTTTCAGAAAGGGAAAGGGGCGCTGGGAAGAGTTGACCGAAGTTGAGGGTCCCCGTGGCTGAGGAAGGTGGAGAAAAGGACAGGGTGGGGGAAGTGTCACACCCCTTCTGGCCTTTCCCAGTCCCTTCTGGGAGTGAAGGAGAGTGCAGGCTTGGAGTAGGGGGCTTCTGAACGGTGGGACTGAGCCTTTACAAGTTGGGCAAAGTTGAGGGATATTTCTTGGGTGGTGTATGTGGACTAACACTGGGGTCGCTGCCCCAGGGCTCTCAGATCTAAAACTAGCAGGGACCTTCTCCATCCTCCAGCCCAACCTCTGCAAGATTCACGTCAGGAGGCAAAAAGAAGCGTCGCGGGAAGGAGGGAGGGGAGCGCCTCTTAGGGAGAATGGAGGAGGGCGCACCCGGCCCTTGGGGGTGGCAGCGAGAACTCGGGGTGTGTGAAAGGATCGCCGGGGTGAGGAGCTGGGGACTCTGTGATGGAGGGAAGGACTGGGTGACCGCGGGGGTGGACTGTGACGTCAGGGCCGCGAGCAGAATGCGGCGGGGCTTGATGCGGGGTCCCCGGCGCCTTCCAAGCTCTGTGCCTTCCCCCATCCATCTCCCTTACGGTGGCTTACAACAGTCATCCCGCACGGGTTTTCAGTAGAGCACGTAGTGTTGATGGCTTGTGTAACTTGTCATTAACTCAGGCTGCTTTAAGAAAAAGCGTTTTTAACCTTTTCTACAAGAATATTCAAAGTTCCCCACTCTCTGCTTAGCCAGAATGGCCAGTGCAAAGCTTGATGTACTACTGACGGCATCAAGGCACGGATGGTGCTTAAGAGTCGTTTCTCACCTGAACCGCTTCAGTGGTAAAGCCTCCAAGATTCCACCTGTGTTTCCTCTGTTTTCCAAAAAGAAAATAGTGGTCCTAAGGTTTCCGAAAAAAGTTTTAAGATGCATGATTCGACCACTCCAGCCAGTGTTTGGCAGTGTATTCAACTCGGCTTTACTGGCTTGTTCCTTGCTTGATGATAATTGTCAGCCCAGTCCTGAGAGAATAATTCCTGACTTGAGTGTTGGGGCCTTGACTTCTGCAGCTAGGTAATGTTTACCTTTATCTGTGCAAAGCTCAATCCAGCAATATCTCTTGAGAATCAGAAAATTAAATCATTATAATATTGACAATTACTTTAAATGCTGTTGGGGTATCCCAAGATTCCTTGATAGGTAAGTACATAGATAAGCCTATTTAAACAGTGAGTGAGACTTGAGATATATTGTACATTTTGTATATGTTCTATTTTTCTCTTAAATCTATTTAGGTAAATATCATAGGAATAAAAGAATTGGACAGGCTAAACTTTATTTTTTAACAAGTGAAAATATGTATTATCTTTCAGTGAGAAACGGAATTTAGTTTTCTCTGTTAATGTATTGCTTTTTAACCTTTTTACTAGTAAAATTGTCATGCATTTTTGTTGTATTTTAAACAATTCAGAAGTGTATGAAGTAAAGTGAAAATCCATACTTTTCTTACTGTTAACACTTTGTATTTACACATATAAATGCACAGAGCTACTTCTTTTTTTCCCCTAAATTTCAGATGTTATAAACTCAGTTGCAACCTGCATTTAGCATAATAAATAAACTTAGCATTATAATGTAGTATGCTAATAACTTTTTCTGTCAATTGTTTATAATCCAGGTGATCTGGTTTTTGAGATCTGTATTAAAGAACTTTAGTTAATTTTGTAGTTAGAATGGAAGTTTTGTAATTCTAGTTCTTTTTCAAGTATGTTATTTCAGGAGCAAACAGCTCATTAATTTCCATTTGTGCAGTTACTGTACTGAATTTATCTGTAATGGGTGTTAGAGACCTCTCTAGGTTTTGTAGCCCTAATTGATATGGACTGTACTTCTCTAACACTCAAATATTTTAATTTTATTTGGCTATTAAAAGTGAATGCTTAGTGTAGACAAGAGTCAAAGTCAAAACAAGTTTGACAAATAACAGAAACATTACTCACAAAAGGATGTGAAAATCATAAGATTTTCCCATAGAAATAGATTTTTAATATCCTTCACTATTTAACAGTAAAGACCTTTACTCAAAAAATTTATTCTTTAAGTCTTCAGAGGCTGTTTCAGCTTTGCTTTTCCTGGCCTTTCAGAACTTCTCCAAGTCAAAGCTCAACTTTATTTCAGGGAAATCGCACTGTAAATTTTACAGTATTCTGTCTCTTTATGTGGGCTGGGGTTAGATCGGTGATCAGACTGCATATGCCAGCCTTTTATTTTGAAAGGGCTAGTAAAATTCAGTGTTTGCATTATCCACTTGGAGCTGCTGATCCAGCACAGAACGACTAGCTTCAGTTGCAGTTCTGACCTCTTAGTTGTAAGTTGTGGGAAAAACTGGACCTCTATTATCTTTGTTTTTTTGGATTTTGGAAGGAAAATGAAATGTTTACAGGGTATTGATAATTATTCTAATAAATTGCCAGGTCATATTTAATGCTTTTCAACTTATACACTGAAGCTTTGGAAGACGCTTTAGTGTAAAGTATGTAGCAAATGTCATTTTAAGTTTTGAATGATGAATTCCAAATTTAATTGATACAGTTTTAAAAATAACTGGAAGGTGGAAATAAGCTCTTAAGTAATTCTGTGATTAAGTGGAGATATTTAGTATATTCTAAGTTATAGGTTATGGATAGGAAATTTGAAACTGTATTAAAATAACTTTTTACATTGAGGGGAAAGTATTATTACTGTTGAGGTACTTGCTGATGGCTATTATGTCATAATCTATTACAGTTTTCAACTTGTTAACTTTCATAATAACATTTTTGCCTTACATTTTAAATGCCTCTTCCACATTTGGTCTCTCAGTAACATATGTGCCCTTGGATATGGCTTTGCATACTCCTGGACAGCTGGGTATGAATATTGGTCTCTGTTTTGTTTCTGAAATAAAAGCATAATGCTTTATTTATGAAAATGTCTTCCCTGTATCCTAAACATGTCACGAGTTTAGATTGTGGCTTCAGGATTCAAATCAGGTTTGAGCATTTCCTAGGTTATGGGACATTAACTTAAGGTTGAACTTAGATCTGTTGTGTAACATTTCACATTTCAAGTAATTAACAAGTAATAAATTGTACAGTTTGGTGCTAGTGATGTTGCAAACATGATTTTTGCTTTAAAATGAGATCAGTAAGCGATTGAAACTAGGTTAATACTTACATTTTGCCTCCTTTATAAACTTTTGATAGAAAATATTAAATGGGAAAATAGAATACAGGTAAACATATATTCCTTAAGAGTCATGAGTATCTCCTAAGTAAGAAAGGAACCCAGTAGTTTAAATAATACCCATTAATTCAAATACACTTAATATATTTTTACAACCATACAATGAATGTGAAGGGTGACTTATACCAAGAAAAATCGAAACTACTAAAATAAAAATTTTACATAATGTTTGAGATGGAGACCTATTAAATGTATACAAGGAAAGAATAAACACATTTTTTGAAGATTATTTAAGAAGTAGCAATGTTCTTCATAATACATTGATATTTACCAAATAATAGATGCCTTGAGACATAGACTCTGCTGAAAATTTTTAAAGTGTCAAAACTAAAAAGAGTGAAGGGAGAACAGAGAAGACTGGAGTGGCCCCAGCCCCAGCCTCCTCACTGCCGGCCTCTCCATGGGCAGGAGATACCCCTTCAAGTGCTGGCCAGCCCTTACATGAGTTGGCAAATACCAACTTGGCCTCATATTTGAGAGGTACGATTATAAATGTATAAATCACATCAAAGAACAGGAAAATCTGTTTTCAAATGAGAAAAATTATAATGGTACAAACTACTTAAAAATGAAAACTTTATTAGGTAATTAATGATAAACTATAAGCAGGATTCCAAATATAGGGTATTTGTCTTTTACTTTTCTGGAAAGACCTTAACTACCATGTTTTCATAAAGCTGCTCTTGTGAAATATAGTTGATATATATCTTCAATAGCTATCACAAAGTCATTGTGAGACACTTAATTGTAGGATAGTTGCTATAGTTTATCTTATCATACTCTCTAGGACATAAGGGAAAGCATATGCTTCAATGGTAATGTCAGAGTTTTATTAAAAGACAACTCTGGGCAATAGTAGTATCAGCAACTTTTTTTCTTCTCTGAAGTTTTCCAAACTTCCCAAATTTTCCTATAACATTGATTTCTAGAAAAGTGAAATTTAAAAGTACCTGTAATAACGGGCTGCTGCAGACTTTGGGTTCTAGTTCTCCTCTTTGATTTCTCCCTCTCAGGCCAGAAGAGACCTCCCAGAAGAGGGGAGCAGCAAGGATGGAGTGATAGCCGAGGGACGGAGGTGACGCTTGATAGAGCAGAGCGGAGATCCTACAGAGAATATCGACCCTATGACACCGAGAGGCAGGCGGATTTTACACCTGAGAAGTTTACAGATGAAAAGTAGGTACTGCAGGCCTCAGCTTGGAGGGTTGGAGGAACCAGAAGGATTTTCAGAGGACTATGGGCCTTTGCAAACTTTCGGTGGTGCCAGTCCTGGGAACAGTTTGCTGATCTAAGTAACAAATCATACTGCTTTAGGTAACAGGTGAAGGATCTTCCATTGGTTCAGGAAATGATTACAAAATAAAAAGTGGATAATTTATTGATAACTTTGAAAGACATTCTTAACAAACTGTACAGGAGTATGCTAAATTTTCTTTTGAAGTTTAGGCCAGAGGTATAATTATGTTCTTGATTTAGTAGAACTAATTTGGGCCACTAATGAATTTAAATTTATGATGAAATCTGACCAAATAACTGATAGAATGTGTGATGCCAGTTTAAGGCTTCCATGCCTTCTCTAGAGAGTGCTCTGACCTGGAAGATGGTCTCAGGCTGATACAGTCTGAGTAATGTGGCAGTATGTGGGCTATCATACTGACCTGAACACAGAGAGCAGTTTTTAATGTCTTATGTTTAGCATTAACAGGATGGATACGTGCTGCCTCAAGTTTTTAATTATTAAACCTACATAGCACTGGGTTTATGTTAAAACAAAACTACTTGTGAATCACATTTAAAGGAATAGAAAGTTTAAAAAGCTAAAAGAGACGAGAATAGTGTACAGTTTAATGTCAAGGGATCTGTTGTTCCCAAAGTCTTTTAACTTCTTGACTACGTATTTCATTATACATTCAAAATGGAGATGGTATATCTGCCACCATGTTAGAGGATGAAGGCAAGAGAAAGGTTTAATTCTGCTTTTTTGGGGTGATTAGTTCAAATTAGCTGCACAACGACTGTAATCTGCTTGCTTACAGAAAGCCTTCAAGATCAGAGTTGCTTCTTTGGGGAAGCATTTGTGTATTTTTCCCCTACTTCAGGGATTTATTCTGTGGAAATAAAGAAATTATAGCCCAAGTTCCCAGCTTTTTTAGTAGCAAAATTATGAGTTTTTTTAAAAAGGATAGGTCTTTATATGTTAACATAAAAAAAAAAAGCCTTATTGAGGGACGATTTATAGAAAGTTGCAAGAATTGTATAAGAAATCCCCATATATCCTTGTCCAGATTCTCCAAAAACTTTTTACCACCTTTTCTTTATCATACTCCTCCCTTCTCTCCTCCTCTTTCTCCTTTTCTCTCTCTGTTACAAACACACACACACACACACACACACATTTTTTTCTTTGGCTTTTGAGGGTAAGATGCAGGAATGTTTCCTAAAAACATGGTACAGTTATCAAACTCATTAACATTGGTGCAATACTAATTATCTAATTATCTGAATCATGTAATCTATAGACTACTTAAACTGTACCAATTGTCCTATTAATATCTTTTTAGCAAAAGAAAAAAAAAATCAGAGTCCAGGAATGTGCATTACATTTACTTATTTATTTATTTAGGCTGCTTTGGGTCTTTGTTGTGGTACACGGGCGCTTCTCTCATCGGGGCACACGGGCATGCATTGCAGAGCATGGACTCTAGAGTGCACTGGCTCTCCAGTTGGGCTTAGTTGCCCCATGGCTTTTGTTTGGGATCTTAGTTCCCCCTGACCAGGGATTGAACCCACATCCCCTGCATTAGAAGGCAAATTCTTAACCATTGGATCTCCAGCAAGGTTCCATGTATTGCATTTAGTCTTAAGACAGCGCTTTAGTTTTTCATTTATTTATGGAGTTGACATTTTTGAAGAACATGAACCAGTTATTCTGTAGAGCAGTCCAGATTTGAGTTTGTCTGCTGTTTCCTCATGAGACAAGGTTCTGCATTTTGACAGGGATACATTAGAAGTGTGATATCTGTGTCCTTCCTAGTGTATATTAGGAATATGCAGGAAATGTTTACTTTGAAGGAAATTTGAAAATATTTTTTGTGAAGTCTTGCACTATCAGAAAAGATAATTTTCCTCTTTTCTTAAAAAATACTTTTCTTTTGATAAACAGCCATAAGATCTTTAATAAAAATAATTTTATAGTCACTAGAAAATTCAGAAAATGAATAAAATTAAAAAAAATTTAAACCACTCTTTTACCATTTGAGATGACTGCTGTTTAACTCTTCACCAGTGCATATACACCGAGTACTATATATTCATTCTTTTCCACTTGACAAGTAGAAGTCATTAACGATGATGTCATGGACAGTGTTGGTAAGCATTTCTAATGGTTCTGTTATGATCTTTTGTTTGGAGTATTATAATGTAATTATTCCATTAGTGTTGGATCTTTGCTCAGCTTTCAGCTTTTTGCTTCATGAATAATACTCAGCGAGCAGCCTTTTACCCATATAAGGCCTTTCCTAGATGTAGTTCTTAAAGTAGGAATCCCAATTAGGGCCTTAAAGCAGTGGTTCTCCACTGAGTATCATGTATCTAACTCTGGGACCCAGTTGGTACTTCAGTATGAGGTTGGATTGGTACCTGTAACATGAAACAAACAAACATTGGAGGGGACTATTAATGCATGGTGACTAATCACCGTGCTAGTAACATGTCAGTTTATTCTGTTGCTGTTGATAGTAATCCATAAGAGCATTTCTCATAGCACTTTCTGTAGACTTCAGTATCATAAAGTTTGAGCTTTGTTTATTTGATATCTATATATGTTTATTGTATATAGGATTTCGATAATCTTAACACACTGCTTAATTCAGTCTTTTCAATTTATGGATAAGGATATACCCAGAGTTTTAGTGGCATGGATTTTTATTCCCCTAGAGCAGAACATAGTTTTCATATAGAAGCAATAGCCATGGATGGTGCTGCGAGTAACTGTTGTGTGGCTGAGGTACAGAGATCAGCCATGTCACTTGTATGTATTCTGGGAATGCAGCTACTGTTTTTAATGCAGTAAGAATTTTTCTTTAGTCTCCAAATGATGAACTCTTAAGTAAACTCTTAGAACAGACTGTTAGGAAATTAGTCTGGATAATTATTCTGTCTCCATACAGTTTGATTCTTTCTTTGGCTCTTTCTGCAGTTTACTTCTGGTCATTTAAAGTCAGCTCCAGTCCTCAAAGAATCACTGACTCAGATGTCTAAATTTTTTTTCTTCCTCACCAGGAAGAATTTTAAAAACTTGTTCAGTTCAGTCGCCCAGTCATGTCCGACCCCATGGACTACAGCATGCCAGGCTTTCCTGTCCATCACCAACTCCTAGAGCCTTAAAGCTTATGGTAAAATGATAAAGAATCTGCCTGCCCAAGAGGGAGATGCAAGAGACGCAGGTTCGATCCCTGGGTCGGGAAGATCCCTTGGAGTAGGAAGTGGCAACTCACTCCAGTATTCTTGCCTGGAAAATCCCATGGACAGAGGAGCCTCGTAGGATACAGTCCATGGAGTCACAAAGAGTTGGAACACAACTGAACACGTACACATGACGATGCATCACATGAAATTTTATCATTTTAACCACTTTTTAAGTGTACAGTGCTGTGGCATTAAATACATTCTAATTGTTGTGCAACCATCACCACTATCCATCTCCAGAAAATTTTTCATCTTCCCAAGCTATACCCATTAAACATTAACTCCCAATTCCTTGCTCCATGAACTTAATTCCCTTTACCTGCAAAACCTGTACTCATGTCTACTTATTAGGACTATGGTAAGAGAGTAGATTACAGGGATGTAATAGATGGGGAAACTGGAAGCAGTGAGAGACTTTATCTTTTTGGGCTCCAAATTCACTGCAGATGGTGACTGCAGCCATGAAATTAAAAGACACTTGCTCTTTGGAAGGAAAGTTATGACCAACTAGACAGCATATTAAAAAGCAGAGACATTACTTTGCCAACAAAGGTCTGTCTAGTCAAGGCTATAGTTTTTCCAGTAGTCATGTATGGATGTGAGAGTTGGACTATAAAGAAGGCTGAGCGCCAAAGAATTGATGCTTTTGAACTGTGGTGTTGGAGAAGACTCTTGAGACTCCCTTGGACTGCGAGGAGATCCAACCAGTCCATCCTAAAGGATATCAGTCCTGGGTGTTCATTGGAAGGACTGATGTTGAAGCTGAAACTCCAATCCTTTGGCTACCTGATGCAAAGAGCTGAGTCATTTGAAAAGACCCTGATGCTGGGAAAGATTGAGGGCAGGAGGAGAGGGGGATGACAGAGGATGAGATGGTTGGATGGCATCACCGACTCAACTGACATGAGTTTGGGTGGACTCCAGGAGTTGGTGATGGACAGGGAGTCCTGGCATGCTGTGGTCTATGGGGTCACAAAGAGTCAGACACAACTGAGCAACTGAACTGAATTGAACTGAAAAGTGGGATGGGACGGTTGGCCCAGTGCAATATTGTTTTCTTTTTGCTTGTGAGTAAGTCACAATAAATCTTCCTAAGTGGAGTCGAGGATTCCTCAATGCTTACCAACCTATAAAAAAGTAGAGGATATCTTTTATAGGAAGGGAATTATAAGGAAGCACTTGAGAATACATTTAATTGGGAGGTGGGGTGGAGGTGGGGTAAATCTGTGGGATAAAGAAAAATTATTTAAGGGATTAAAATAAACCAGACCACAAAGCTGTTTTGGGGACCAGTTTCAGTTACTATCATATTTTTAATGAATTTGTTATTTTATCAGTATCTGATCTAGATTTCATATACATTTAAACTTAATTTTGACTATTGGCATTATTTTCCACATATGGTTTTATGCTTCATTTCCTCTCAGTTTCTAGGTAGACTCTTTTTATGGCCCTGTCCAGCTTCCTGGTTAAGAACTTACTGTTACTAAAAAAAAAAAAGAACTTACTGTTACTTTTCATTTATTATTGTTTTAGAACTCTGCTTTAGATATTTACTATAATATGGAATCATATTCTACAATAGTCTCCATTTCAAATTTTGGTTTTGGTCAGAGGAGGTGGGAGACAGAAAAAGCCCACTTGGAAACTGATTTAGGATGATGTTTCTTGAAAGAGACTGGCATAAAGTCAATGATCAGTGCTTCTGTATTTTTTCATTTTTTTTTCATCTTTTTGAATAAGGAGAATTGTGAATTTTGTGTCTTTTTATCCATGATCTATAGTAGCTTTTTAATGTAACATTTTCAGCCCTAAAAGTAGACTGGAATACATCTCCAGTTCTGGTGTTTGAGCCACTAATGTCACTAGATTTCAATAAGTAACTTGTTGCTTCCAAGTCTTGACAAATTAAAAAAATATATAATTTATCTTATTAAACTAAGGTTTAACAATGAAAAAGATGAGATTCTTCCTACAGAAGCTTTGAGTCTGGTGAAGAAACAAGTCCCCATAAAAAGTGACTGTGAGCAGATGGTAGCAGGGAACAGTGAGGAGAAGCATGCAGGCAGGCCCTGGGTCCAGGGGGTGCGGCAGGGGAAGAGGGAGAAAAGGCAGATTCTTTGCTTGGATACTTGCGTGATGTGAGTTAGGGACCATAGCGGGACACTAACCCCTTGGTTAGTGTTGGTCATGTATCTTCAGGGACATGAGGTGACACGGAGGAATGTCCAGGAAGTACCAGTCTTTATGACCTGGAATCAGAGAGACCCCCAAATGAGAGACACAGGGGCACATGAAGGGGTCACATGTCAATAGCATAAAGATGAGGATGGTGTGTGCAGGAGTGGGGCGGTGGGAATGCTGATATTCTTAAAGATAAATGGGTGGGTATCCAGAAGATGGGTATCCAAGACATGTTCCTTAAAAAGACAAGGTGTGGAACCTTTCTTTATATGTGACTACAGTGCCTGGCTCCAAGAAATGGAATTGGGTGCCCAAGAAGCAGGATGAGTACCTTGTGAATGTTTGGATGTTACCTATTGCAAAAATAACTTTTTAAGGACAGGCGGGGAAAGAGAAGCCAGAAAGAGCAAAGGAAAACTAGTGGTTGGCATTATCAAATAATGCATAGGGGTCAAATGACCTAGAGACAGAAGTGGCTACTGGATTTAACAACAAGGACATCATCTTCAGCTATTTTCAGAGTTATAATTAATAAGCTGTATGCCAAGAGCGCACAACAGTGTCAAAGGTAGTATGTGCTCAGTAAAATTTGACTATTAATTATTCAAGCCACAAGTTCTTTCCAACACACTATAGCCATAATGAACTTCTAGAATTTTTTTTCTTCAAAAAAAAAAAAAGCCTTAGCTCTATAATTCAGTTCACCATTTTTATGGTACTCATTTCTTCCTAGACCAATTGACAGGTTTGATCGAGACAGACCACTAAGAGGACGTGGAGGCCCAAGAGGGGGCATGCGAACCAGAGGCAGAGGTGGTCCTGGGAACAGAACTTTTGACGGTTTTGACCAGAGAGGGAAACGAGAATTTGAGAGATATGGTGGGAATGATAAAATGTAAGTTTCTTTGTAATGCTATCTCTTTAAGATCTTGGTGTAATACATGGTGTGCATCTGTTGTGTGTTAATATTTAGTTGACTTTATATTAGTATGCAATTATTCCTGAGGGAGCTGATACTGGGACAGCTTTTCTGATCAACTTTTCTAATTTGGAGATTGACTGGAGACTCGTTTTTAGTTTAAGGGAATATTCTTTCTTTGTCTAGAGCAATCAGAACTGAAGACAACGTGGGTGGATATGGAGTTCGCACCTGGGGATCAGGTAAAGATACCAGGTATGGTGCAAATATGTATCTTCTGTGAATCTGCAATTAAGAGGAAATATCTGGACCTTTATTTGCCTGTCTTGAAGATTATGTCCTCTGTGGTATGCTTGTGGTGTCTTTATACTTGTGTGCTTTATGTAGAAATTTAATTTAAGCTTTTGTTTCATGAGATAACTTTTTAAAACAGGTTTGCTATGTTGTAGTTAGATTTGAAACTGCTTTCAAAATTCTTTTGTCTTATTTTAGCCAAGCAAATTTGTATATTTGTTGATGTTCCAAGCACATGGAGCTATATATTTACCTATGCGTCAGATTGCTTTTTTAAATTCCTGGATTTTCTATACTTTATTTCTCTGTGACCTTCCAAAGTTTTTATGTATATTGCATCTTGATCTTATAAAATTATTTGCAGATCCAAGCTCAATGACAAGTTTCACCTGAGGTTCAAATCTGCCATTTCTCTGAGGTCTTCTGGTAGCTCAGATTTGTACCGGTTTTGCTATTTGGGGAGGTACTTGGTTCTGCTGTTTCTGTCATTTCAAGGCTGCAGGAAAATATGAGGAATGAGTTGCTCTAGGATGTGTCGCAGGGCAGGCTTTACACAAGTTTGAAGGCTTGAGATCAAGACTTCCACATTTCTTCTTTTGAAGAATTTAAGTTTTTTACAGAAACTTATTTTTCTTAAATTTTTATCCTTAAAAATAAATGTGTAAAATAACAGCAAATGTAAAGTTAGATTTACTACCACTGCATATCTGTGTTGTCCTTGAAAAGAAACTTGTTAAATGTTTACAGATCTTTTCATTTTGTCTTATTTTACTGTGATAATATATTTTTTAAAATATACAAGTACCTTCTGAATCATCTGGTTTACCACCTTATTTAATACTATCACCTCATTTCAGTTTGCATTTCAATTTAAAATCATTTTGGCTCCAAATGATTACTTACTCGAAGAGGTAAGTATTGGCATTAGAAGTGACCAAAATGTGCTCCTAGTAGATGGTATGTCCCAGTGTTGAAATGACACATACCCCATGGCACTTATTTTGGATTGGTTTGTGAGTTATAAAGTCAAAGCTCTTAGGTGGTAATAATCTGTAATTGAATGTTTTTGTTGTAGCATAAGACTTTAAATTCTTATTTAATACATTGAGATTTTGATTTGCCACCATGATATAGTCCAGCCACGTACCTAGTCACTCAGTCATGTTCAGTTCTTTGCGAGCCCATGGACTGTAACCTGCCAGGCCTCTCTGAGTTTCATGAGAATGAAATTTCTTTTGCTAATACTTTTAAAAAAAGCAATATTCATATAGGATTAATATCACCATAAAAATTAAAATAATGCAGTTAAAATTCAAATTGTTTTTCATTGTGCTCTAATTTCTAATCTGTAGATTGTATATTTAGATGTGAAAGTATATAAATTAATGTTCCAAAGCCTTATTTTTCTGGTATCACCAGCTTTTTGTAATCCTACACATTCCTTTTTATGAAATGTTTCCACTTTCTTGCCATTCTTTAAAGTTTGATATGGCATATTCTTATTTATTATAAGTCATTTAAAACCTACATGTTGAAAATTTTTATGGTCCCTGTTAATATTTGGAATTTCCTAGGATAATAACATTTGAATAGTTGTTCGGGTCCTTGGCAATCTGTTCTTAATTTTAGTCCATCAATAGAAACTTGTATTTATCAAATACTTTTTACATTTTTGGAAATAATTTATATGGATTAGCAATGAAGAGCATTTTTTTCCTCTTTTTATTTTGATGTGGGTTACTTGGTATGTACATATTAATTCCTTGAGGGAGAAAGGACATTTAAGTGTGTTTTTTCCTGTCTTGAATATAGAAGGGCATTGATGTAAACAGATTTGTGTGACTAGACTGGTTCTTGCCTCTTTGCAGTGACATGGACCCGACTGCCCCCATGGAAGAGACCACAGTGGTGGAGGAGTCCCTGGGCCCCCTGGAGGATGAATCTCCAGCTAAGTGGGTATTTCATTCATTTTCCCCACTGGGCTGTTGGTCTTTTTCTTAAAGATTTATAAGAAGTCTTCATAGAACAGGAAGCTCAGCCTTTTGTCATATCACAGAGAATTGATCTTAATGTGTTAATGAATAATCAAACGAATTAATTCAAATCAGCAGCAGCCTGTACTGTAACTAGTCTCTCCCTCTCATCAGTACCCCCATGTTTTGTCCTTTCATTTTCTTCTGGTCCCTCCTTCCTTTTTTTCTTCATGGAGCTTAGTTCCCTAGTCCATCTCTAGCACCCTTGCCCTTGGGATCTATGAGTACCTTGCTAGCAGAATCCACCTCCTGGACAACTGATAGCCATCTGCCATCTCTCTACTTGCACCCACAGACTGAATACTGCAAGTCCCTCAGCAGGGCTGGTAGGAACTCCTGTAAGTTCCTGATCACATTTTGAAATGAGCCGTCAACACTGCCCAGCAATGCCCATTTCTTGGATTCACTCTTTCCCCCCACCCACTACAATGACCGGTTCAGTTCTTCTTGTCCCCTCAAAGCCCTGACACTGCCTCCCACTTTCTCCTTCTTCCATCCTTGCAACACTCACACCTCCTCTTTTGTTTTCTGAGTATAACTTTGCTTCCTGTGTCACAGAGAAATTTAGGAGCCGTCAGAAGGGAACTTCACACTCTCCGGGGCTTCTTTCCTCGTGGTAAAATAGGGGAGCCATCTCTCCACCAACCTCTTCAGCCTTTGGTTCCTGTTTCCTTCTGACCTCACTGAAGTCTCAGTTAGCTCCTTCCTTTTTAGACATACTCACCTTCTTCCCCCTAAATCTGGTCTTCCAACCAGCATTTTATATGTGCTCAGTCTCTTGTTTTAAGCCTCTTGTTGCCCCTGCATTCTCATTCACCTTCCTTTTTGGGGTTGTGTGCACTCTTTCTTCATTTCTTCCCCTTCACTTCCCCTTCATTTTATCCTCACTTCACTCCAGGTTTGGCTCTGCCCTCACTACTCTTTTGAAACAGTCACCACATGTCTCCAGAGCTAACAGATATTTCAGTCTGCAACTTTCTTGATCTCTCAGAACATTTGACTTTACAAGCATACCTCAGAGATATTGTGGGTTTGATTCCAAACCACCTTGTTAAAGCTAGTATCACAATAAAGTGAGTCACACAATGGTTTTTGGTTTCCTAGTGCATGTAAAAATCATGTTTACACTATAGTGTAGTCTATTGATTGTACAATAGCATTGTGTCTAAAAAAACCAGTGTGCATACCTTAATTTAAAAATACTTTATTGCTAAAAGATTGGTGTCTTCAGTGAGTTATAATATTTTTGCTGGTGGAAGGTCTTGCCTTAATGTTGTTGCTGCCTGATGGAGGTGGTTGTTGAAGGTTGGGGTGACTATGCAGTTTCTTAAAATAAGACAACAATGAAGCTTCCATATCGATTGACTTTTCATTTGAACACTTTGAAGCCATTATAGGGTTATTAGTTGGCCTAATTTCAATATTATTGTGTCTCAGGGAATAGGGAGGCACCAGGAGAGAGATGGAAAGACCAGTTAGTGGAGCAGTCAGAACCATGTGTAGCAGTTACTCATTATGTTCATTGTCTTATGTGGGTGCAATTGGTGGCATTCCAAAACAATTACAGTAGTAATATCCGTGGATCTTGGATCACAGATTATCATGACAAATATAATAGTAATGAAAAGTTTGAAATATTTCGAGAATTACCAAAGTGTGATGCAGAGACATCAAGTGAGCACATACTATTGAGAAAATAGTGCTGCTAGCCTGGGCTGCCACAGATATTTAATATGTTAAAAAGGCAGAACCTGGGAGCTCAACCCAGCTCTCTGTGACAACTTAGAGGGGTGAGATGGCATGGGAGATGGGAGGGGGATTCAGGAGGGAGGGAACATGTATATACCTGTGGCTGATTCATGTTGATATATGGCAGAGGCCAACACAATATTGTAAAGCAATTATCCTTAAAAAAAAAATAGGTTTAAAAAAAAAGAAAATTCTGTGAAAAACAAACAAAAAAGGCAGACTCTGTAAAGCACAATAAAACAAGGTATGCCTGTGTTGATTTCTACTTAACCACAACCATCAGTTCCTCCCTTACAGGCTCAACCTTGTCTTTCTGCTCTTTCAAAATGTTGAGTTCTTCAGGGTTCTGTCTTAGACCCTCTTCCCTGTGTCTGATGTCTGTTTATAAGGTCTCATGCACTCTTGCAGCTTGAATTGTCATTTATCTCCTGACTCCGGAACATATACCTCTGACCCCAACCTTCAATATGGATTCTAGGCCCGTGTGTCCATCTGCCTCCTGGACATCTCTCCATTGGCATCCCAAATGCTCCTCATCCCCACCATGGCCAGAACTGAGGTCCATAGACCTCATTTTCATCGTGTGCTTAGTCACTCAGTCATGTCCGACTTTTTGCAACCCCATGGACTATAGCCCGCCTGATTCCTCTGTCCATGGGGATTCTCCAGGCAAGAATACTGGAGTGGGTTGCCATGCCCTCCTCCAGGGGATCTTCCCAACCCAGGGACAGAACCCAGTTCTCCCGCATTACAGGCAGATTTTTTTTACCATCTGTGCCACCAGGGGAGCCCCCATTCTCGATAGGTGTTTCTGTCTTTCAGAACAGCATCAGCACTTATCTGGTTGCATAAACCAGAAACCTACAAGTCATTCTTGAGATTTCCTTCTTCTTGACCCGCTGTCTCTCCAGAATCCAATCTGTCACTACCCTGAAGATTTGTACCTTTTTACATCTACCATCTCCACCCACCACCTTAGTCTCAGCTACTGCTGTCTGTTCCCTCACCAGAGCTCCTAAGGGGGCTCCCTGTATTCTCAGCTTCTGTCAACCTGTTCCACACCAAAGTGGCTTTCACACTGCCATTCTGATCAGCATGCTCCTACCAGGACCCTACCCCCAGTGGCTTCCTGTCTTTTTTCTGTCTCTTGCCCTGACCTGCACAGTCCTGCGTGGTCTGACTCCCAAAGAGCCCTCAAGTTCAACACACCTGTGCCTTCTCCACATGTTTACCACATGGCCCTTTTTCTTGTTCCCAAGCACCTTTCTCTAGCTCCTAAGCCATACCTGCCAAAAAGCCTTTGCAAGTGCTGTTTTCATGTTTTTCTATACTTCTCCTCTCTAGCCCCTTCACCCATTTATTTAACTCTTACTCATCCTTCTGCTGTGAAGAGGCAGAGTGTCAAGTGGTTAAGAGCAGAGACTCTGAGCCAGTGTTCTGGGTTCAAATCCCAGCTCTGCTATTTACTAGTTTGGGCAAGTTATTTATTTCATCTTTCTGTGCCTCAGTTCTTTTCATCTGTAAAATGAGAATAATAATAGCACCTACATCTGAAGGCTGTCGGAAGGGTTGGTTGGGTGTGCATGAGTTTCATGTGGAGTGGGGCCAGCTATATAAATATCTACTATTAATATTGTTACTTATTATAAGAGTAGAGTGCTGCAATGATTGATGATTGTGAAAGCTGTTAATTTACTATTCAAAACAACTAAGAAATGTATTTAATTAAAGAAATAGATTAATAGTTAATATGAATATTTAGACACTGAGTTAACCAAGGAAATAGATCAACAGTGTATATGAATGTTAAGAAGTGAGTTAACCAGATACCCTCAGAAAAATTGGATCCTTTTTGAGCCAATAAACCAGTTAATACAAGTTCAGATAATGTAAGGCAGAATAATAGTAAATTACAGCATAATTATAATCTTTAGAATTAACTGAGGTATTCTAGCATTCATAGTGTTAGACAAACTCTTTTGATTAAATCAGTTATTCTGAAAGACAAAATAAACACTTAATGATTCTGGTGGCAGTCTCATTGTCTGCAATATCCTGGTGGAGCTAGTCAGCAAATCTCTCTCTCTCTGCTGACCGTGGTGGACAGTGAGCATCCGTTTGGATTTGCAGGAGCTTCAGGGCACAGCAGCTGTGCTCTAGTTGCTGAGCACGCTGAGAAATTCGTGTTTCTGCACTGCCTTGTCAAATCTTAAAATTATTACTACTAGCATTTCTAATAATACAATTGGCAGTTTTTTATAGTTTCAAAATTAGGCTTGTAAATACATCTTAGGATGGAGATGCTCTCTGGTCTCAGCTGTGTCTGGATATTGATCAAGCCAGAATGTATATTCAGGGAGACTCTTGGTTTCATACTTCTTGCTGTGCTCACTTGCTCAGTTGCATCTGAGTCTTTGCACCCTGTGGACTGTAGACTTCTGCTTCTCTGCCCTTGGAATTTTTCAGGCAAGGATACTGGAGTGTAGTGCCATTTCCTATTCCAGGGGATCTTCCTGACCCAGCAATCAAACCTGTATCTCTTGGGGTCTCCTGCATTAGCAGGTAGATTCTTTACTACTGTGCCGCCTAGGTGATAAATTTAATGTACCCTCACATATGCTCAAACCCATGACCCAGAGTGTGCATACATATTCCTCAAATTGGACACATTTTGTTGATAATTATATGTGTTATGACCTTCCTTCCTTCCTTGATTCATTACAGAAGTATTATGTATTTCTTGTCTTGTGGTGTGCTAATGTCCGAGGATACCTGTGACAACTTACTGTGTTTTGCTTTAAGAATAAATTGAACATTTACCGAGCATTTTTTGCCTGCCAGTAACTGCTCTAAGTGCTTCCATGGCTTAACTCACTTAATCTTTTGCTGCTCGTGAAGGAGAAGGTACTGTTAATTATTCTAATGCTGAGACATAGGTTAGACAGCTTATTTTTTGTAGGTAGCAGAGCCAGAATTTGAACCAGATATTGTAGCACAGACATTCATGTTCTTAACTGTGCTGAGTGGCACGTGCGTGCTCTGTTGTGTCCGACTCTTTGAGACCCTGTGGGCTATAGCCTGCCAGGCTCCTCTGTCCATGGGATTTTCCAGGCAGGAATACTGGTGTGGGTTGTTATTTCCTTCTCCAGGGGATCTTCCTGACCCAGAGA